GAGAGGATGTCGACGTCGCGAATCCACTTCGGTCGACAGAGCGGTGTGTGTATAGGAAACCGACGTCGCGAATCCACTTCGGTCGGTAGAGCGGTATCGGAGAGGATGTCGACGTCGCGTATCCACTTCGGTCGACGGGATGTCTAGGATCTCTAGGAATTGCGAGTTCTGGTCGGTCGTGCGCCTGAGAGGAGCTTCCCGATCAAAATCCCCCGATATTGATTTTCTGTCGGCTTTTATACAAAATTATAACAAACAGTTTCGACTGTTTGTTGACATTGCGGTTATTCCGCGCGCGGTTGTTCGGCGTTTTTGTTATTGATTGTTTCGTGACGTTTTCCGGATCGTCACATCCCCCCCCCCCCCTTCGTAGTGCCTGTCCCGGGCACTCGCAACTTAAATCTAATTGTGATATTTAATGCTACTCTAAATCTACCCTTCACCACATTAATACCCCTATATAATCTCTATGTAACGTTCCCTTTTACCATTTGTTAACTTGTTTGTAATCTATCCTAACTTAACCTTATTCTATCTTACTTTATATGCTATTTTTAATTTTCCCTCTTTTGTGAATGTGACCCGCCACAGCTCCCCGTCCACATACCGTCGATATTTGTGTGCGACGTGTGCCGCATGGTATGGCACGTCGATTGTCCTGCCTCTGGAAATCGGGATCTTGTACGCCGGCGGAGCGCGGGTCTCTATGCGAACCTTGTTCGTGATCGGCGTATCCATGATGATTTTCGGCAGTCTCTTCTTATGGTCTGGTTCTCCCTGCGCCTTGCTCGACTCTTGGGCTGCTGGTGTTGTGGTCGTCGTGTATGGCCTGATGTGTGGCCGTCGTTTTCGCGTTGCTGGTTGTTCCTCCGTGTGTTGCGATATCAGAGCTTGAAGTTTCCTTTGTGCTATTCTGGCTGGCGGCGGAGTCTTCAGGCAGGCGATGGCTGGTGTCCGTTTTGCCGGTTTGTCGGAAGGCGGCTTTTTCCCTGGTGGGAGCCTTCTCCATGTTGCTCGGTCTTGTGCTTCCGTTTCCCTTTTTCCGTTCTCGGCTCTGGTCAGCGAGTCCCAAAGTTTCT